CCCGCCTATGGAATTTCGATAATATTTCATTAAGATGAAAAGAAAAATCTTCAAACATGCACAAATATACAGACTTTTTAGATATATGCAATTTTTCATGAAATTGGATAAAATATGCAAAAAATGCATAGATATGCACTTTGCATATTTTCCGCCCTCTAGTGATGATGAAGAAACGTTATGTGTCGATGTAAATAACCTAAAAATTTGCTTATAGTTAGTTTTTAAGCCTGTTTGCCTTTCCTAATTATCTAAATTTCTTAATGTATTGTAGAACAATTAACAAATGATTGCCCTCATGATGAAAATGATGTTTGAGTGGAGAATTATGTACTCTGCTTTGTGAGCAGCTGAAAAGAGCCACGAAATGTGTTCTTGCCATCTCAATAAGGGATTTGGTAAATACTGTGTGGGATGAAAATCAACATTTTTTAAACACACCAAAATGATCAAAAGTAAGTTTTTGTTTTACATAAATTGCTTGCTCGGGCTTTGGAAAAATATATCAGAAAACTGCTTTTAGGATCTGAACCACAATTATTAAAGATACGAAATTGTTCTTGTACTTGCTTCCCATAATTGTTTGTCAAAAAGCTTTCGGATCCTCATGTCATTCAATTCTTTCCTTCGTAAGGTTTAATTTCTCAACTGGAACAATCACGTGCGCACAATCCTTATAACGAAATAATCTGGCTTGTGATCAACTAATTATCAATAGAGATTTTTATCTGTCTAAAAAGCGTCAAATTTTTCTGTATCTATTAGGCCGCGTTTTATGCTTTTGCTTCATAAGGCAGAAATCACATGTGTATAAGAATAGATGACATACGCGGAGTGCCAACATTCACATGTTTAAATTACGTTTGTGAATTAATCAACTTGGGTAAACGGACGCATTTAAACACACGGTGTTTACTTGGATATTATAAATAAAATTAATGATTAATCTTAAGCATCAATTCACGATGTTTAGTAATCCTGGCCCCCCTGTTAGACACACACTCACCTACTTAACAATTATTGCACCCCCACAACTACTGTCTGCTGTCGAACTAAGTTAAACTTTGAATCAGGGACAAGATAGGAACTTGACCTGAAGTTTCTTCTTTGCTACGTTTCTTACAATAGCCCTTCTTTTCTCAAATGGCACAATAAACCTTCGAGGACGAAAGGCATGTTCGATTGTTCGAAGCATTGATTGCCGAAAAGATTGTTTTCTTTCCTTGTCTAATTCCTTGAGTGAAATCAACACATCGACAGTTAAAAATTAACCTGGCAACGTTGCATACTGTTATTATTAACACCATTTAATCGGATCGTGATAATTATTAACCCACTGTTTAGTTTAAATTAATAAAATTTGTTGAAATAAGATCATACTAGGCCAAACTCTCATTTTCACTAATCTTTGTGCTTGGAAATTATGTAGAAAACGTGAACTGACTAATTTGGCTCTTTCACATACGTTTCGCACATTTTCAAGCACTGAAAAATTGACCACACCCGTATATTAGACATTTTTAAATTTGGCGCGAAATCGCTGGATTGCGAGGTTGCTTTGGCACTGGCGGCTAAACGTAGGAATTCAATCCCTTTAATGCGCATGCTTTGACTGCCGAGTTTTTACCTGCTAATTAGCTGGGTGATTAAGAGTGGAGTGAGCTATCCATCTCACTCTTAATCTATACTCTTTGCGTACAGATTTCGTATTGAAAATTCCACCATATTTGAAATCTATTATTATGTATAGGCCTATTGACCTTTCAAAATGGCTGGGTTTCTTGTGCAATTCTGCCTTCACAGCATATGGCATGCAAAGGCAACATCAACTCTCAAAGTGCCTATTAAATACACGAGTTCCTAGTAGTTTCATATTATTGTTAATTGTTATTATACTGATGGCTTGTGTTTGAGTTTCGTTTGACCAAAAAGAGTAGATTTCATAGCATCTTTAGGGCAACCATTGACTGCAGTGCCTACCTCCACCTTGTAGGGTGGCCGGGGGCCAACTTGAGAATTTCAAAAGGTAACCACCACATTTTATTGGATATTCGAATAGTACGTCAGAAAGTGAGATGTCAGGTAAACTCTGCCTACGAACTAAGGCCAGAGTTTACAAGCAAATGATAC